TTCCCCACCATAGACACCTGCGGTCCAGAGTTTTGCAAATATCTCAGCAACGTTGTGGTTGTATTTCGCTTAGTAACCTGCCATGAAAATTATAGAAGGCAGAAAACAAAACGTTAAACATTCTGACACCAGTCTTCGGGCAACGAAGTGATGAGGTTTGGTAAACCCAGTGAGTGGTCGAACTACAAAGGCGTCTATTGCACGGCATCTCTAAGCCCTAAGCTTCTCTGTTCAATGAGTGATTTATGCACATGCTAAGACATAAAAACAGATCTTATCAATCTAAGCTCATCAACGAAAACATATTGAAGGCTGTTCAAATAGAGTTTGCCTTCAATCGATGTTGTTTTTTCATTCAAGCATCGATTTTTGTATCTCAACCGTTCGATGAAAGTTCATTCTAGCAATATGTCAGGGGGGGGGGGGGAACCAGTAGGGATTAATATCGTCGGCGACGAAGTCGTCGATCATTTGAATAAGCTCACGTGGTTTGTCCTCCGGTACGACATGGCCGCTGCTTCATGCCGTTCGGAAACCCTGAAAACCTACAAAGAAAGGAAAACCTACAATTGTTGTAGGAAAGTTATACATAAGAGTCGCTTTGAAAGAACACCTAAAAATGTTGAGGATAAGGTCTCTGTCAAACTTTGTCTTTTTCATATTTAAGACGAAACCCGGCGTTGAATGGGTTTCCACCCAGGCAAGATCGCCGATAATTTCCTCGTGCTCTTTCCTCGAAACATCCCAATAGAATGTAGAGATATAACTTCAATGATGCTAGATATTTGCAAAACTCAGGGCTTCATGTGTCTGCAGTGGGGAACGAGCGCGCTATTACCCTTTTCAGAGCTAATGCGCTCACCATCACACCACACGGGTCCTTCATTTTGCCTCTCTCTTAGCTAGTTTTCTATCGTTCAGTGCCATAGGCACCCGTCAACGAGATTGATCTGTGGAGTTCAAATCGGCATTGAACCCAGTTAACCTAAGGCCGGATATTTAGGGATCCGAGGAGGGAAAAGAAACAGCGACGATGGACATGGTGAGGAACTGTGGTTCTCGAGATTACTGGGAAATAGAATTACGGCATATCAGCAGGCAATATCAATAGGATGAGAAATAATTTTCTGCTTGTAATAGTTCCCAGGATCGACTTTCTATTAACGTCGGCGTTGGAATATGAATGCGTCGTTTTCTTGTTCAGCAATCGCGAGGTTTTTAAACAGCATGCATTTACTTCCATTGAAAAACACAATACAATACAACACTAGCTGACGTTTCGGCAGTATCGCCTTCTTCAGAGCCTGGAAGGGTATGCTGATATACAATCTACTACGCCAAACGCTTCAACAACACTTACAAAAAGACGAAAAACTCTATGGTAATTACATGATCAACAGCTTCTCAAAAAACCCACCGCTTTTTCGTGACTTCCAATGAAGAAGTTTAGAACAGCTGATTATAGTCGTATATGGTTGATGACTGCACCATCCCACATCAGAAATCGATGCGAACATACGGGATCAGGTCGGATATGACCTCCGGGCATTCGTCCTTGCTATTCATTGTAGGGTTTTTGGCATTTATCCAAAAAGCCTCAAGAAGTTTTCGCGCTGGTGTTTTAGACTCTTGTGCAAGGATATTGAGTTTTACTTCAAAGTTTCTTCGTTTCCACTATGCTTTTGTATCCTATGCGTGCCTAGCGGGATGCTTCGTCTTAGTTTTCGTTTGCCGTCTAGGTGTTCTTTTATACGGATACACAAAGGTCTGCCCGTTTCGCCAATATATTCATCTCCGCAATTATTACAAGAGATCAGGTATATCGTACTTGAACTCATGCAATCACCGTCCCTGCCGTAAGGGCAAATTACGCAATTTGTTGTTTCACATAGACGGCCATACAGGCGGTTACGAACTAATTGACGACGTAGAGTAGCCGGTGGTATTTTAACTATCGCTACTGATTCCTCCAGACCTGCCCTTCTTAAGCATCGTTTTATAGCTGCGCTTACTTCATCGCTTATAAAAGGCAACATAAACGGGACTTTCTTTTGGCCAGGTGTTTCGCGTGGCCGAAAATGTGCGCTCGACTTTCCCACTAATCAGTATACCCTTCCAGGCTCTACAGAAGGCGGTACTGCCAAAACGTGAGCTAGTGTTGTATTGTATTGTGTTTCCCTATGGAAGTAAATGTATGCTATTTAAAAACCTCGCGATTGCTGAACAAGAAAACGACGCATTCATAATTTTCTGCGTTGTTCCACTCCAATCGTTTCGACTCGATACGGGCATGAAGGCCGACATCGAATCGCGCTAGCGTTCGACGATTTCCAGCCTTTCGAAAACTACCAGTCTTCTAGAACTCGAAAATAAAACCCTTTTTCCTTTCTGCTTGTCGCCGACCGTATCTTGAATGATGAGGTGGACTGAGCTGTAGGGTTTCTGCCCAGCGGGATACGATGCTCTCCATGAATTCGTCTTCAATGCTGTCGCATGCTCCTCTCTTGTACGACCCTTATTTTCTAAAATCGAAATTATCGCCAGTTAGTGATAAATTCGCATAATCGCTGCTATTTTAGGTAACGTTGTAAGAGAAGCACGCTGTGGATTTCAGAGGAGTCCAATGTGTCCAGTATGTGGACTTTACAGTGCTTACTAGTCTACTTTTATTCATATACAAAAACGTTTAGTGCTGATTAACCTATTAGGCGTCTCCTTTGCATTTGATTACATTATGAATCGTGGAGGTCGATGAATGTATATTCAGCTATTGAAATCACTTGAAATGATTTTTTTTACACGAATGAGCTGACACATGGTTGGTAGAAAAGCTCGTATTCAGCTAACGACTCGGGGCCTCATTCTTCCTCAGAGGTGCGCTGAGCCGAGTCGATGGACTACACTCTATACGTTTTTACTTTGCCAGACTAGTTAAATGTTAGATACATGGGGTCGAACCAGCCGATCCATTGCGGAGCAGCCCTAACAGTTTTGCTACGAGCGCCTCAATTTCACTTTTAACTACCGAGAAATACCCCCTGCATTTGATTGGTACTTTTGTGGCAGTATGACGCAATTCAGACCTCAATAGACAATTTAGGCAACAATCATATAGGTTATTAAGAACGTTCCTTTGAAAATCATGTTTTCGTTTGGTTAGTGTCGATTTTATTCCTTGAGCGTCTTCGTCAAAATATTTTGCTTGCAAAGCTCTGCCCACAAACGTTACGTAATCGCAAGCTGTGAAAAGTACCAGTACGTACTGATGCTTTACAGCTTATGAAGGCCTTCCATGAGATCAGCTGGGGTGTGTAAACCAAAACATTCTCGGCGACACCTAATTTCTCTCTACTCACGATGCGCATTGAAAACCTTTCACGACTTTAGCACGTCCATGCTGCCCTCCTCCCTTTCCACAAGTTATCGCTGGACCTACTATTTGTATTTTTAGATGGACAATCAGAATTTTTCATATGCTCACGTTCTATGTTAGGTTTTATGCATTTTCCATAATCTTCGATGTAACTTTTTAAGCCTTCCTGTGTGTGACAAAAAAAACCATTAATCGTCCAGCTGTGACGCTATCGATCTGGGAACATTTTTAACGATATGTCGCAGTACTTTTCTTTCTCTTTTTTTGCATAGAGAATCCCTACGTTTACAATGATTTGCAACAACGATCGAATGAAGTACCACTAACTGGGTTGTTTTGTAGTACATTCATTTCCATACATTTCATACCTCTAGCGATTGCACAGGAAGCAAGAAAATCAAAAGCGGGTGCACAATTTAATTGATGATGTCAACTGTTAAAACCAGAAAGGCCAAAAGATCTACTTCGACAAAATGCAGATGCATAAGACTCTAAGGTTTAAGTGTCTTCGAGTTTGCTTCACACGACTGCACGTCCTCGGCTTGCAGTGTGAACAAGCCCTAAAAATGGTTCAATAGAAGACGGAGTCAATGTATTTGCTTATGTGAAGAATCGAATTGATTTTATCTACTGCAGTACATACCCCACGAG